ATATATATATATATATATATGTAAATAGGATAAGCTTCATAGTATTTTATTTTCACCTTTTACTAAATTTTAATATATATTTAAAGAATGCCAAGTTTCCTTTAGTTCTCAATAAAGTTCGTTCGAAGAATGTAATAAATAAATATATAAATAACCTATAAATGAAACATTAACAAAATTAATCTACCATATCTAAAAGTAAGCACTGAACTTACGTAGAATCACTGGGCCTTTATTAACTGAACTTATGCAGAATCGCTAGGCTTTTATTAACTGAACTTAAGTAGAATCACTAGGCCTTTATTAACTGAACTTACGTAGAATCACTAGGCCTTTATTAACTGAATTTACGTAGAATCACTCGGCCTTTATTAACCGAACTTACGTAGAATCACTAGGCCTTTATCAACTTCAGATTCTATGCAAACACATCACCTTCTATATGAAAAATTATTTACAATGAGAATATTATAGATTGGTAATTTCAAGTAGTCAAATCTTTCTTATTTTTTCATATAGTTGATAAATTTAACAGTGTCATTTATCTTATCTGTATAATGAAGAATCCGTAGATTTTGAATAATTTCAAAATCAATTTATACAAGATATAATGTAAGATTAGGCAGATAAAATTATCCGTTGCTGCAAAATTCTAAATAAAACATAGTTAGGACTAGTATAACTTAGAAAGGCTTAATTTTATTCAGCAAAGTTTAGTCGAACTAATTTTAATAAAGCCAGAAATTTTTACTTAATCTATTACTGCTGGATGAAATTTGCAAATTTGTAAATTCAATTATAAACATTTACCATCAATTTGTGACTACTATAGTAAGCTATAGTAATCACGAAAATCCTCTAAGTTAAAAAAAAAAAAAAGTGATCTTTATCATTGCTGCATTTTTTTTCTTGCTATTCCTCTAGACTAAGTCATTTATAGAAACTATAAAGAATAGATCCCTAGAGGTGAGGTATCGGATGAATTAGCAAAAAAGCATAAATTCCTATATAAAAGTACATTATGTATTATTGGTAATCAATAATTTAATTAATGTTGAATTATTTGAAAAAATAAAAATCATTCTGACCTCTTTTAAGTGAAAGTTGCTCTTCGCCAACACCATGAAAATCGTATAATGCAACGAATAATGAATCATTTTCATTGCCTGTTGAACCATTCAATAGATCTTCTCTGAAATATATAATACTATAATATCCTATTTTAGTCAATAAAATTTATTTCAGTTTACTTTTAAGAAATTAAAGAAAGAAAAATGTCTGATTAAGAAATGAAATGTTTAAATGAACAAAAATATCTCAATATAGGAATGGGAGAAGAGATGATAAGATAAGAGGTTAATGAGGAAAATGCATGATTATTGAGTTAACAAGAAAGAGTTTTATGGTGCTAAACAATTGAAGAAATTTTTTTTTTTTTATTAATTTACCTAATGATTTAATAGATCGTTCATTCCGGTCAAATGGATTGAACCAAGCTAATCAAGTGATATAAAAGGATTTCTTCTCAGTTAGCTTCTTCTTTAAATATAATTCCCGAAAGATGCTTCACTTTCGAATTAATGAT